TCACCGACTGTCCCCCCCGACCTCTGCACCAGGCCCTCCGAGGCTGAAACCTATCCGCAGGCCTGCTCTCACCCCTGGAGAAAGCAGCAGTCAGGGCGTGAGGTGAGGAAAAGGGGCTGTCAGATCCTGCATGGCAGTGGCTCCTGTGCTGGGCATGTGGTGACCTGGGCTCATCCCTGCAAGGACAGCCCATTTCCCAGAGGATGCCGAGGCTGAGACCCACCCTCACAGGCACTCAGGTGGAGCCAGGCCCAGAAGTAGGGTGGCTCTAAGGCACAGCCCAGGGGGGCCTCTCAATCCACCGCTCACGAGGTGACCTCTGCACACCCCAGAGCCAGACTGCCAAGGTGCAGTGGAAACGTTTCTCCCACCAGAACAGCCCAGCAGCTAGGTGTGTGCTGTGACCATCGAGGGGGCCTTTGTCAGAAACATCACCCAGGGCCAGATGCCCCCACCCACAGGAAGGAGGGACTGAGACAGGGCCCGGGCACCCGCAACCGGATGGGGCCAGAGGACGGCTGGATGTCAACCCACAGAGGGAGGCAGAAACTCTTCCTGCAGGAAGCTCCTTGGGACAGGGGCTGGGAGGGGCCCGGAGGGGCTGGCTGCAGGTGCTCTCACCAGCCAGAGACATGCAGGTGGGGCGTGGGGCCTGTGTCCTGGCTGCCATGAGGCCCACCCACACATCTGCCCTCCCCTTTCCAGGTGCCCAGAGGCCCAGCCCTTCACGTCGGGATTGGACGGAGGCCCTGGGAGCAGGCTGGCTGTTGTTATTTTACAGATGAGCCTCAGGAAAGCTCAGGGACCTGTGTGAGAAGGAATGTCCTGTAGACTTGCGCCCTCTCAGGATGCACGTGTTACTCAGGAACCTACCCGCCAGCCTTTCCCATGACACATGACACCCCTCCTGAACCTCCACCCAGGTGCACTCTGGGAAGAGGTGCAGGCCTCCCCAAGGCAGCGCAGGACCCGCACACCAGCCCAGGTCACAGCGGGGATGGGAGGGACCCGTCCACTGCTCACGGCTGTGGGATCTGGGGTGGGCCACCCCACTTCTCTGAATCTAAAAGGCCCAGGAACCAAAGGAAAACCATCATTTCAAAACTGTCACGTGACACACAGACACGTCCCCCGCTCCACCACCCGCTGGTACACACGTGTTTACCGCCTGGGACACGGACCACCCAGAAGTGTCCTACTCATGGGTGCAGATCACATCCAGGTCTCGGCCCCACGCAGGGGAAGTGTTTTCTCCTCCTGCCCCTCCTCCTGGGGCGAAGGACAGCAAGGGGCACGCAGCGTGGCTGGCCGGGGCTTGCGCTCCTTTTGATGCACAGAGTGAAAGGGCAAATCTTGCTCCAGGGGAATAACGACCTCCGACAGCACAACGAGGGAGGAGACAGGAAAGAGTTTTCATGGAACCTTTTTATCTGCACAGCTACCCAATCTGTAACTGCTCAAGGAGAGATTAGTTTGTTCTGCCACTGCCCGCCGTTGCCTGAGCGACGCACAAAGCGCCCCATTGTGTCCTCCAGGAGGGACGTGGCGCCGTTGCTGGGCACGGACAGCAGAGCCCGTGCACTCGCTCCCACCTCCGCCCTGGAAGTGAAGGCCCAGCCACCCTCTTCTTAGGGAAGAGCCTGAGCACGGGCCTCGGCCTTGGCTGGGCGTTGGGAACGAGGAACCCACCGATAAGGAGACAGCAGGTGAGGGCACACTGGGGTGCCCCTGCCCACCATGGCCCATCCATCTCAGTCGCCTGGGGGCTCTGGGCTCTGCTTCCTAGACTTCTCTTTGCAGCTTCCTGTCTAAGCCACCGTCACCTCCCGCCCCCTACCCACAACTCGTGGGGCAGTGGGTCACATCTGAAACCTAACTTGAGTACTGTCCCCCCTTTCGAAAAGGCTGGGGCTAACTGCAGAACCTCATGTGACACCTAGGCCTCAGCACCTCCTCGCCCCGGCCCAGGGCGGTCCCTGCGGATCCGGCCCCTGTCACTCACCCAGCCGCCCCTCCCACCCTGCACATCTCAGGGAGGCCCAACCCCTCAGAAGGGCTTTTCTGGTCTGCACTGGGGGTCCTGCCTGTCCCCCATCTGCGACTCTCCCGTTCCCGTGCCTCTGGTTCTCATGTCCCCCCACCAGCTCTGGATGCAGGGCCGTGTCCTTGTTGGGACGTGGCACAGATGCGGCACATGGGGCTGAGGACAGTTCTGCGGCGGCCAACTGGGAAGGGGTGATCATGACCCTCCCTGACAAGGAGGCAACAGGCGAGAGGCTGTGCCATCGGTCGAAGGCCTGCGGGACCCTACAGCCAGTGTCTGCACAGCACAGAGTCCCCCTGGGGGCCCAGGGCAGCAAGGAGGAGCCTTTCAGCCCCGATGGAGCAGGGCACCCAGGGTGTGGGACGGGCAGGTGTGCGGGCCAGGCCTGCTCTGCCAGATTTTTGCTGCATTCTCCAGGCCTGGAGAGGGCTAGTGGCCAGTCATTGCAAAACTGGGGCTGGAAGAATCTGGGGCCCTGCTGCCAGGTACCAGCAAGGGGAGGGACAGCTGCTAAGGGCTTTGCGCCCAATGGGGATACAAAGTCAGACAGCCGCTTCGGGAGAAAGGGGCGGACAGGTTAACAAGCAAGGCATTCATCTGGTAACAAAACACATCTCTTGAAGCCAAACGGGAAAGAGGAATTCTGCAGACGCGGTACCGTATCCCAAAGCTCAGAAGGGAGGTGCGGGGAGGGCATGGCGGGGGAGGATGTCTCAGCAGCTAACGGAATTACAAATGCATTATGTATTCAGGTTGAACAAAAGCTCTTTGCTATCCCTACTGAAGTTTGTTTTTACAGAAGTCAGGTTCCCTCCTGCCTCTCTGATGAGAGCAGCTGAGCAGAAGTCTTCACAAGCAAAGCGCCCCTTCCCTTCCCTGCACACCTCCTGGAGGCATGGGATGGACTTTTCTCCTGCTTGTAAAACGTTACTCAGGCCCGCCCACCTCTCTGGACAACTTCTGAGTGCCTGGGAGCCATGGAATGAGTGAGTCTTGTCTTGAGTGAGGTGATGGAACCTGAGGTCCCAGTGAGTTTCAGAAGTGGAGTGTCCCACCAGCTCTCGGGTGGCTCTGGCACCCCGAGTGACTGAGAATCCCCAGTCAGACACACGCATGGGGGACGGGTTTGAGCTCCTGAAGGGATGACCTGGGCCACCTTCCAGAGCCACGTGGGAATCTGGTGGGACGTTCCCCTTGACAATGATGACACAGGTAGCCAATGCCTGCTGCAGGCTTTGTACAGATTAATGTATTTGATAAAGGCAGTCTGGCGCCGGCCCCAGGAGCTTGTCTCCCTGTCGTGGTCACTATAGCCCAGCACTGGGTCCCCTGCAGCCCAGGTCACCTGCTGGGCGCAGAGCCCCCGCCCCAGCTGCAGTTGGGCGAAGTGCTGTGTTTGGCCAGCAGGGGGCGCTGAGAGCAAGGGGGAGGCCCGGCCAAGACCCTGGCTGCATGCTGGGTGCTGCTGGGCACCCGTTCAGTTCACAGCTCACCAGCGTCAGAGTGCACACAGGAGGGCATCCTGGAGCCGAGGCAGGGCCCCAGGCAGGACGAGGCGGTATCCACGTGTCTGCATGTTCTGGTCTGGATGTGCATGGGGCAGCAAGGGGCAGGGCAGCTCCCAGCTTGCTGGGTAGGGGCCTGCCCTGTCCTCTGCGTTCCTGGGGTCCCACCTGCCTCCCCCACAGCCATGTGGGACCAGGCGGCCTCTCTGTAGCCATGAGCAACTATGAGTCACCAGAGCTTGCATCTGCAGGGTGCCCGCACTCAGCGACAGTGCCACAGCTCGGGGTGGAGCCCCCAGTACCTGAGGCTCTGGGAGAGAAGAGAATGAGGACAGTCCTAACTGCTCTGCTCCTAGGCTGGCTCCAGCAGGGATGGGGACAAACTCAGAAGGAACTGCAGAGCGGCACCCGCACTGGACTCAAGCATCCTCCACTCCAACTGCACCCAGCCACGGGCAGGATCCAGCGCCCAGGACTGTGTCCCCCAGGAGCCGTGATCACTCAAACAAGGACTGCTTACTGAGCCCCAGCCTGACCTCACCGCGGAACAGCACAGTGCGGAAACGGTAGAGGCTTTGCAGGCAGACACAGAACACAGATCTACGGGGTGTGTGTTACAGCGTCCAGAGACACCCAGCAAAATGCCAACTGTGTCAGCCAATACCGACAGAGCACGCACATGCCAGGGGTGGGGGCCACTTCACACTCATTCTCCTTGTTATTCCTCCCAGCAGGCCCAAGAGAAAGCAGCTCGGAAAAAGGCTCAGAGCGGGTGAGTGTGAGTGATTTCCCGGGGGTTGCACAGCACACAACCAAAGCCTGGGCTCCCCAGCCTTGAAACTTTGGCGCCTGCTGGCTCTCAGTTGCTCCTGAATGTGAACGGTGGGCACGTCTGAGTGACGGGCTTCCAAGGTTTGTTTTGTTTTCCATGCTTATCTGATCTTCCTTCGTAAGCAGACAGACACATGGAGACAATCCCACCCTGCCATGGAGTGATGAATAAACGCAGCACGACCAGGTGCATGGCCCCGCTGGGGGAGGGTTGGGGGTGACAGCACAAGGGACGCCGACAGACCCCGGGTGAGACGGTGCAGGGAGGTCAGCACATCAGGCACAGCCCCTGCCAGGGCTGGAACGTTCCACATCCTCCCCAGGTGAGGTTACAAGGCATAGGCTGGGCACTCAAGACTTACAGACATCATTGCACAATAAACGCAAACCGCCAGAGCCCCTCCTGGGGGTGCCCACGCTGTCCCACGGGAGCACTCCTGTGTCCCCTCTGGGTCGGATTTCGCTTGCTGGGTGATTTTCCCAGAGGGAAAGCTCCACGTTGTGTGGGACTGCAGAGCTTTGGACTGGGAGTCACTTGGGGATGGGGACCCCATGCCCTGTGAAGGATACACAGGCACAGCCTTGAGGGGCTCCCGGTGGGGCCTGGGGGCCGTACTCACCCTTCCCGATCTGGACGAAGCCCAGCAGGATGATCAGGGCCAGGGCCAGGAGCTTGGCGGCGGCGAAGGCATCCTGGACCCGGGTGGCGGCCTTCACGCTGTAGCAGTTCACGGCCGTGAGCAGCACTGGAGGGACAGAGGGCAGTGGTGAGTCCCACAGGCAGACACCAGGTCCAGGGGAGGCTGGGAGGTGACCACCCCACCCCACCCCAGTGCCAGGGCTGGGTCCACCAGAGAAACAAGCTCCTGAACCAGCTCTGGTCCCACGCCAGCCCCTAGGCAGGCTCTGATTTTCTGGGACCTGTTTTGATAAGGTTCGCATTTCTTTTAGGTCTAACGGCTAGATCCCAGGTGCCCGTCAAGGGCTATAAAGGACCGTTCCTTGCTCCCCCACTGCACCAGGCCAGAGCACCACCTGCAGTCAGGGCTTCCAGTGGGGGCGTTGTCTCCAGAGACCCAGGCGAGCAAGGTGACCCTGCCACTCGGAAGGTGCCCACTACATCTTCTTGCACCTACTCAGCACCCTGGCCTGCGGGTGAGACACACGCACAGCCCAGCTGCCAAACTCCATGAGGGTGGGGCCCTTTCCTCAAAGTGGGGTGTCCCGCTACCCTGGAACTACCTGGCCAGTCACCTGGGGACAACAGGGCTGGTGCAGCATGGGAGGGGCCGCAGGGGCCTGTGATGAACAGAGCTGCACATGCTGAAACCAAAAACAGCACTGCGTGCTTCTGAAGCCTGAGGCCTGAGCAACTCCACACAGACGGCTGGAGCCCCTGCCCCAGAAGGTGCTGCTGGGCACCCGTTCAGTTCACAGCCAGAGTCCCTCCTGGGGGTGCCCGCGCTGTCCCACGGGAGCACTCCTGTGTCCCCTCTGGGTCGGATTTCACTTGCTGGGTGATTTTCCCAGAGGAAAAGCTCCACATTGTGTGGGACTGCAGAGCTCTGGACTGGAAGCCACTTGGGGACAGGGACCCCGTGCCCTGTGGAGGATACACAGGCACAGCCTCGAGGTGTGGGGTCAGGTACGCTCAGACAGGTCTCCGGATGCCAGCAAGTCCTCCAGGGCCCTGTAAGGCGCCAGCTCTGGGCCAGAGAATGTTTGTGTGTGTGCCGGGGTATTTGCTGAGACACGCAGGCACGCTGAGCCGCTATTCAGGGATCTGTGGGCTGGTGGGAGGCAGCCACCCCTGCCACTGAGAATGAAGTAAATCACATTAACCCAGAGGCACCGACCGTGACACTCACTGCCGGCTGCACTACCCCTCCCTCCTCTGTGCCCACGAGGTATCTGTAGTTGTCAGGAGCTTGAAATCTGCCCGTGGGAGCGTCTACACCCCAGAATTGGTAAAGCCCACCACAGGCAGCCCGCACAGCGCTGCTCAGCCTGCAGGCAGGTGAGAGCACCGGAAAGGCCAGGGCTTCCTTTTCTCTTTCCACATGGGAGGCATGCTCAGAAGATGCTGCCAGCCGTGGCCTTGGGGACTCCAGTGAGTGGCTTTTCCCCAGCAGAACAAATCCTATGGAATTTTTACAGTTTGGGCAACAGACCCCAAGGAAAGACATCCATGCTGATTAACCGACCACACCAGGCGGGGAACACACAGGACCTGTCCCGAGTGAGGATCGGCCGTCAGCCTCCCCTCTCATCTCTCAGTAACTAACCAGCCCACCACACCTCCTGCTAGGCACCGGGAAAGCCTGGCTGACACGTGTCTGAAAGTAGGTGTGTTCACTGCCGTTCCTAAAACAAAAGTGTGAAACTCCCCTCCACTCCTCACCCAAAGTGAAGCGGTGAGGCGTGGGAAAATCCCCTTGTCCCAGGACTCCCAGGGACATGGAAATGTGGCCAGTCCACAGCCTCCGGTCCAACCCTCGGGGCTCAGCTGGGTTGCTCATGGGTTTGGGCAGCTCCTTCTGCACTGCCCAGGGCAAGAGGCAGGTCCTGGCTTGACAGTCCCATTTACTTACGGGGTTGGAGGGTGACCACAAAAGAAGCCGGGCCTCAGGGACCTTGCAGGCAAGCGTGGGCTTTCCGGATTCCGGATTCGCAAGAGGCTGGCTGATTGCATCACTCACCCCAGAGGGAGGTGGAGGAGGTGTGGCCAAGCCGCAGAGGAGGCTGCCTTTCCCCAGGGGGCAGCAGGCACGCAGCTGCCACCCAGCTGCCACCGAACTCCAGAAACCAGACAGGCACTACCAGCACTGGGTGCGGCTGTCACCTCTGCTCAGGGGGCTGGAGGGGGTCCAGGAAAGGCAGGGATTTGCCCAGAAGTGCCAGTCATGGGCTGTCCTGCCACACTGACGTGGTCCTGGGAAATGACGCCATCACAGCTGTCACCGTGGGTGGGACAGATGCCAGGCCCCCCGCCACACCCACGCCAACACGACCCCGCCTGCCCAGTTCCAACCAAAAACAGTCCTCAGGGGCCAGTGGGTGCCACAGGGAGTGCTCACTGGATCATCTCCTGACGTTAAAAATAACCACGGGGCGGGCAGACAGGAGGGGCTGGGTCTTGGAAGTCAGGTGGGAAGCGCACGGCCACAGAACAAAGGGGACCTCATCATATTTATTCCTTTTATAACAAGAACATAAATTTTAATGTTTACTGACATTGGCTGATGAGTAAACAAAGCCTTCATTATTCTCCACAATGTCCTTTTTTTAACTTTTAGGATGAAATAAAATCTTAAACAAATACATGAATTCATCTGGGTTCAGCACTTTCTGGCGTTGGGGAGACAAGGTAGTCACGGGGGAAGTCAGGGGTTTCAACCTCAGCCCCCGCGGGGACCTGCCCCCTCCCCAGCCTCAGTGTCCACACCTCTGAGGGCCTGGTGGCTGACCCCACAGCAGGGAGATGGGCAGGGCTGTGTCCTGAGTGGGAGCGGCGGTGGAGGGGGGGCCAGTGGTGGTGAGCACACAGGGTCGGCAACCCCAGATAAATGTGGCTATGCTGGCCCGCGGGGACAGCTGGGCCAGGAGATAAAGCCCCGTGGCTTCGCTTGATCTGCATAGTTGGGCAGGCTGAGCTGGGAGCCCCTCCCAGACTGGCGTGCTCCCCTGTGGTCATCTGGCTGCCTCCCACCTGGCTGGCTGGCCGGGGTCCCTTGGAAAAAGTGCATTGGAGGGACCCCTGCCCTCCTCCTCTCTTCACCTCCACCCCCATCACCCCCCAGGGGCAGATTCGGTGTCCTGGGGAGGTTGCCACCACCTGGCATGGGCTAGGGGGACACCCCCACCCACCACCCCCTGTGCCTCCCCATCTCTGGAGTGAGCTCCCAGAGATACTGACCTCACAGACAATGCAAGGAGGCGCCTGATCAGGGAAGGCCCACAGAAAGGACAGGTGCACAGCTCGACCCCTCACCCTGCTCCCTCCCCATTCGCATGCGCAGCCCCCTCCCCCGACCTGTAAACCAGGAGGCTGCCTTCTCCTGGCCCCTGGCCTCTCCCCTGGGGGAGATGATTCTGAGGAGTACCCAAAGGCTCCCTAACCTGGGGCACCTCCTCTGCCTGGTGCCCCCTGAACTCACTTCTGCAGCATCTGAACCTGTCTGCCTCCCCTGATGCTGGCATCTTGGTCACCTGGTCCCAGTTCTGTCCAGCTCCCGATAAAATCCTGCCAGACACAGGGACGCTCCTTCAGTGTCCGGTGTAGGACAGGTCCCGCAGGGTCCAGTGTCGGAGGACAGGGTGGGGGAAGACCAGTAACAGGGGTGTTCAATGTGGAGAGCAGATGAGAATCATGGCCCCAGCTGGGTGGGGACCCAGGCCCCAGGAACCCTCCCCACACAGACTAATGCCTAATGCTTTCCAGTGACAAACGTGTAGCAGGTACGGAGCGTCCGTGGATAAGGCTCAGGCACAGTCATGAGGAAAATCCTCTTTGCTGGCCAGAGAGGCCGCCCCCTGGGCCACCAGTCCTCACCTGCCCCGCAGCCGGACAGAGCAGTGAGCACTACAGGGCTCAGTACCTCGGCCTGTCTGTAAGCAGGGGTACCCAATGAGCATGGGGTTTAGGAAATCGGTATCTTCCTCCCTGGCCCCTTCAACCCTAAGCCTGGCCACTCTGAGTGCCCCAGGCACACATCCAAGAGTCCCTTCCATCCCCTTCAGGCCCAACAGGAACAGAGGTGCTGCTGTCAGGCCCCCAGGGACTTCCTCCAGCCCCAGGGACTTCCTCCAGGAGTCTTTGGAAAGAGAGCGTGCATTCTGGGCATGGTTTCAGAGTCTGTTGATACAAAGGGCCAGCTCTGGGGCAGAGATGGTCCGAGGCCTGTGAGCCGTGCTGCCTTACAGGCAAATGAGGATCATTTACCTAGAGCTGCCGGAGACAGCACACAGGAAGTGGGTGGTGGCTTCGCTGGTTGCAGGAAGGCCAGGCAGCCTCGTCCCCTAGAGCACACCCGGCACAGCGGTCGGCCCTGGGCAAGAGAGCAGCAGCGGACCCTGGCCCAACACCGGTCCAGTCCTGCCCAGCCTAGCCTGCAGCCCCGAGCCCAGCCAGCACCTCTCAAACCTGACACCCAGCCTTGGAGCCTGGGACCCCTCTGCAGCTGGCTGGGGGTCCTGAGATGGCTTCTTTGTCAGAACCCACTCGGCACACACAGGGCCCGAACTTAGTGGGAGCCCCGTGAACATGGGGCTTAGTGAAACCATTGCCTTCCTCCCTAGCCACTTGAGATGTGTCTCAACATCCCCTGTTCTGAGGGCAAGCCTCCACCTTCTCCACTGATAGAAGGCCCCACAATCTCCCAGGTCATCCCCCGGTGGGGAGGGGTAGGGGGTGGCGGAAACCCAGAGCTTTTGATGAGACAGGTGGGGGGTGTGGGGGAGCACATCTGCATAGAACAAGCTCCTAGGGAGGCTGGCGCTGCTGGCCCACATCCCCCAACCCCGTACACACGGTGCCTTCCTGATGGACACGTCATTTCCACTGGGGTCCAGAAAATTAATGTGTCTGACCCTGTGACCCCTGTCCCCACCCAAGGCCAACCTCTTCTCAGAATGGGCTGGAAGCTGAGCCCGCCCATGCGGGCTCCAGACCCACCTGCCTCCCCATTGCTGGCCTCAGAGAGAGGTCAAAGTGGTCCGGAAACCCCAAGGAAACAGCAGTTCAGGG